TTGAATATTCCCATAAAATAGATCATAAAGTAGGCCGTAAGGTGTTAATCTGACTGGGTCATAACCTGTCAGTGGAAATTTTGTTGAATTTCTTTCTATGACTAATATAAACAAGCCATTACAATTATCTCAGGTTGACAGCTACGATTTAATTATTGGTCCAGTTTATATTTTCCCCAAATTTGGAAAGGATTTTTTTCCCCAGCTGGAGTTAAAAATATCCGCTTAGATTAATTACAGTAAACTCAGTTTGATCCACCCAGCTTTCAAATAACTGACTTCAAAATGGAGAAATCTGAGGGGTGCCAATATTTTTAAATATTTCTGGAGTACATTTCTCTGGTGAATCTAATCTGCCCGGCAAAAAAGAATACAATGAATGGGTGTCAATAAAACAGAAGAATTTAAACAACAAATAAATTCTGGAGAGCAGGCAGAAGTTCAGAAGGGAAGGCACTGCCATGGCTTTGAAAATCCAAAGGAAATTATTCATTTTTTTTCCCTCCACCTGTCCCTGTACTTTGCGGGCCTTGCATGTAATAATTGGAATTTTTTAAAAAAAATCACTTTTTTTTATTTTGCATTGATGTTGCTGTGGGGGAAAATTGAAGGAGGAAGGATCACGTTGGACACATTCACTGCCTTAGATTGTTTGTAAAATCAATAAAGGCGGGATACAAAATAAAATAAAAAATAAAATAAAATATAAAATAAAATAACCCAGCCTGGAAGGAGAATGTCAACTTTAAAGCAGGTAGTTTGTCCCCTCACAACAAAATCTTTCCTCAGGGGGACAGTTGTGTAATTGTGAGGCTTTTTTTGGCTTCACTCACCGGGACCCCCCAACCCAGTTCATTTTTCCTTTGTCCTGCCAACACCAGCCCTGACAGGTAGGCCACCCAGATGGCTACCAGCTGGAAAAGAAGGAAAGGAAAAAGGAAAGAAAGAAAAGGGCCCTGAGGGGAAATGTCAGCACCCACAAGTCCCAGTGGGGAATCACAAGATGGCTGAGGGAGACTCTCCTGGGTGTGTCAGCCTCTTCTTGAACCCGGGGCTTCTCGGGAATGAAAAATAAAGAGCAAAATGGGTGGTGGGAGGGAAGAGGGGAAATGAGGATTTGGGGAAGGGCTTGCAAAAAACGAGATGGACGACCCAAATCTTCCAGATTCCCTGTTTGGCATTTGCAAGCAAAGTCACTGCAAACAAAGTCCTTCCATGCATAGATGCATAAAATGCAACCTTGCAAGGGAAGAGTTTTTAATTCAAATCCCCGTTAATACACTTCCTCCCCTTTGGGGTCCTATGGAAAGGCCGAGCCCCCCCCCCAAAAAAAAATCCAGGGCTCCTTAAAGCCCTTTTTATGTAAAATATGGGTGGATTCCTCCCTGGGGGTTGCAAGAGGATGTGATTGATTCATCAGTCAGATTTCCTAAATGCCAATACGGCAGGGGCTAATCTCAGCAGGAGATGATATTTCATTTATTTATTTATTTGTATCCCTTTACTATTTTTACAACTAACTCAGGCCATCAAACATATCAAAACATCTTCCTCCTTATATATATGTTATACAGTATTATTGTATTATATGTTATATTATATATTATTATATAATTGCATTATTATTATATCATGGTATTATATATTATTATATTATGTTGTTATGTTATGTTGTGCTATGCTTTATATTGTATTGTATTGTATTGTATTATATTATTATATTATATTATAATATAATATTATATTATATTTATTATTATATTATATTATAATATAATATTATATTATATTATAATATAATATAATATTATATTATATTATATTATATTATATTTATTATTATAATATAATATAATATAATATAATATAATATAATATAATATAATATAATATAATATAATATAATATAATATAATATAATATAATATAATATAATATAATATAATATAATATAATATTATATTATATTATATTATATGCTATGCTATGCTATATTATGCTATATTATATTCTTTTTGATCCTCTTCTTGACTTTCCCAAACCAATTACCCTTACCAGTTTTTAATTTTTTTTCTTTAAAGGCTGCTTTTTTCCAGAGTTTAGTTTTTAAACAGGAGGAAGCTAAAGGTCACACTTAGTTCACATCAATCTTTTTTATTTCCAATGCCCATTAGTCGTAATTCGATTCCAAATACAGGAGGAGCTATTGATTATTCAGTAAAGCAGGAGAGACAACCAAGGGGATATGCTTACATGACTGATTTCATAAAACAGATGGAATAAGGAGGGTTTTATCTTTTGTATCATTTAAATCGAACAGACATGGACATGCACAAAAATATGAGTCAGGATCATACAGTAAATAGGATCAGTGTTTATTTTTATGCACTTATTTTGTAAATTAATATATTGTTCCTCCCTGAATGGCTTTGTATGTATGTGTGTGTGTCTGTGTGTGTGTCTGTGCACACATAAACACACAAAGACATAATTACACAAGTAGTCCTTGATTTACGACAATTCATTTAATGACCATTCAAAGTTACAACATCACTGAAAAAGTGACATAATCACGTTTCACACTTACAACCATTGGAGCATCTCCATGGTCATGTGACCAAAATTCAGACACTTGGCTCATATTTATGACGGTTGCATGAATTCCTGGATCATGTGAACACCTTTTGATAAGCAAAGTCACTGGGGAAGCCAGATTCACTTAACAACTGTGACAAGAAAAGTAAAATGGGGCAAAATTCATTTAACAAATGTCTCATTTACCAACCTAAATTTTGGGCTCAATTTTGTAAGGCGAGTACTACCTGTTTATATTTGATATATAAAATCCTCCTTCAGAAGTATTCCAAAACTAAACGCCCTAAATCAGGGGTAGTCAACCTTGGCTCTTTTATGACTCGTGGACTTCAACTCCCAGAATTCCTGAGGCAGCCATGCTGGCTCAGGAATTCTGGGAGTTGAAGTCCACGAGTCATAAAAGAGCCAAGGTTGACTACCCCTGCCCTAAATTAAGAAAAGAGAAACATTTCTAAACTTTAAGGACATAGCCTACGTGTGAGGCCAGGTCATTATTCTGAAAAGAACCAGTATTTTATTGTTCAACCAATACGGTAGTGGCTATCCAAGCTGTTGAGCTTGTATCTTTTATTTTTATGTGTTTGTATAGGCGTGTGTTTGTGTGTGCATATGTGCAGCTTTGAGTCAGTCTTGAATCTTTGGAGTTTTCTTGGCAACATTTTTAGAAGTGGTTTGCCATTGCTTTCTTCCTAGGGCTCAGAGTGAGTGACTGGCCCAAAGTAACCCAACTGGCTTCATGCCTAAGGCAAGATTAAAACACAGTCCCCAGATTTCTAATATGTTGCTTTTGACCACTACACAAAACGTGTATCTGTACTGCAGCATATTTTTATTTTTTCATACAGAGATAAAGTAGCTTAATATGTGCAATAGAATAATGCAAGGTAATATATCCAACCGGTCATTCTGCTGTGTCAAAGATGCTATCTGATCTGATTTGATACTGATCTAGTTTGAGATTTCAGAATCTCGTTATAGAAGAACAAATTTGTAACTATAAATAAACAAACAGAATAGACAACTGTTCTCTATTGTTACCAGCCTAAAGCAAATCCATATTTAGAACATAGATCTTTCATTCCATAATTGCTTAGAGGAAAAAAACAAACCCTCAGTCACAAATAAAAGCACCAAACGATCCACATTCAACCCAATTAAAATGAAAAACTCTCTTATTTTACTGTTGGTAATCCGGTTTGTTAAGGGTTGTT